ATTTGGTCTTATCACTTTTTAGTCAACACTTGCTCCTGTAAAACTCCCTAGCCCGAACATTTTCAGCCCGCTCGGGGGCTCCATGAGGGTACAATACTAAATACTACCTCTCTTTTTTACTATCACATGGTAAAAACTTTTTGCCCGAACAAAAGGGCATTCCATTTCTTTAATTACCCTACGTGACTTTGTTCTTACTCCCAACCGAACGCACCCCACCACGACCTACGGTTACGAGCAACCGAGCCCCACGGGCCATGCCTAGGTTCTTAAAAGCTATAGCCTATGGAACGAATGGGCAGGTACAAAATAGAAAGGATAAAAAAAAAGCTATGCTGGGATAAAAACAAGGAACGGATAGTGATTCTATCACAAAAACATAAATGATGTATTCATTGATACAAAAACTGTTCACACAGGGGCTCCCCCAAACTTAATGATTATATTTGCTGACTACTTCTACTCCAAATACTACTGTGGCCGCTCAGTGGCATCAGCTGACGCCAAAGGTGAGGCCACGGCACATACCATTGGACATAAGCACCGCCGCAAGGGCCCCGCCCAATTCCGCTCCCTCGACTTCGGCGAGCGCAACGGGTACCTCAAGGACCTTACCCAGTTCCGCTCCCTCGACTTCGACGAACGCAATGGGTACCTCACAGGCGTCACACCCATAGATGCTCAGTAGAAGACTATGGAGCTCCTGACCTTCTCATGCAGTCGAGGCAGCTCCTAGGCAGGGACGCTGCCCGCCAAGGTATGGCCACCGTGGCTGGAAGACATCTCATCAAACTTTATGAACTGGCCAACCTGAGCAGCTGCAGGCGTGAAACCCTCCACCAACACGGTCCTGGGCAACTTCCCCTTTGACAAGGCTCGCCCGGTGAAGATCCACTGGAAAGAGTCCCCGCACGGCTCCAACCCGAAAAAGGCCTCGCAGATGAATCCAGCACGCCTCTTCTCAGGCAAAGACGGCCAGCACCGCCTCGGGCAGCCTCTCGCTCGACATTGCGCTCTAGATTCACGAAGAGATCTGTGAGTTCTCCCCCTCGCTTACCCTCTCTCTCACTTAGGAACCACCGCGGCATACAGACATTCTTGGTGAGAAGGAAGAAGGAGGAGAGGCAATGGTTGGAGAACAGGCAAAGGACTACGATGAGAAGCTCTCTCCCTTCCCCTATTTAAGGAGGAAATGCGGCAGCTGAAGAAGGGCAAAGGATCATAGCAAAAAACTCTCTCCCTTCCCCCATTCAATGCGGATGGGAAACGATGGGACGCGCCCTAACCGATGGGACACACACTGACCGACGGAATGATGCCTAGTTAGATAGGACGTGGCCTAGGTATGGCCCACCACTACCGCACGCCAGGCGCAAGAACCAAAGCGCCACCACGCGCAGGCGGCCCTCCGCCTTTCTAGGCGGGACTTGGAAAGACCCAACTACAGGATCTCCGCCCAAGAGAGACCATCGAGCTCCCTAAAGGCAATGGAACAGCTCAAGAAAATGCCTAGAGACAGGTAAGGAGCAAAGGGATGCTCCATGTGGGCCATGCCAACTCCGTCACGAACGACGAGCACGGATCCCGGTCGGACATTTCCGATCGAAGCTCTTCAAAACCCCGTCACTCGAGTCATCAAGTTAACATTTCCAAACCCCACTATTTCTTTATATAAACATTCATACATCCATACACGCATTCATTCCATAAGTCCGCGCCCCCGGACGTTTCTACCCAAATCGCTCGGGGCTCGGGAACTAAAGGCATCGCACATGCGGCTAAATGCATCACAACGCTCCATGTTGTGTCACGAAGCGGCAGTTGCCTCATTCGACATGAGCAACGACCGACCGGGGTTCGAAGGCCGGCCCATGAAGGGCTCGAGGCCGCCTCGCGTCAAACAGAGCCAAGGGAGAAAATGCAAATGAGCCCCGTGCGACCCTTGCCCAGTCTGCCCCGAAGCAGACAGGGTCATCTCAACCTTCTTGTTCGATCCTAAACCTCTGCCAAACCCATAGAATCTCCATCGAGGAGAGGCCAGTGGGCCACCCGGGTCGGTCTCGGAAACGACCCAAGCATCTGTCGGGTTGCAGGTAAAGGAGTAGTGGAATATCACAAGAGGGCTATGCCGACCCCATCACGAACGATGGACCCGGATTCCACTCGATCATACTCGTTAGCGAGCTTCACCGAGCGTGTCACTCAAGCCCGAGCGATCGAGGCAAGCGACAAAGCTCAGGCCCTCTAGTTGTGAGAAACCGAGGACGAGGTAACGCACAAAACTCAAACCGACTCCTACCAACCCCAACGGGGCTCAGGGGCTCACGATCCCCAAACTAACTGCCTCGGCTACGCGGGCTGCACCGACGCCAGGATCCACGAGCTCCGTCTCAGCCGATCCCTAAAACTAACTGCCTCGGCTACGCGGGCTGCACCGATGCTAGGATCCGTGAGCTCCATCTCGTCCGTTCCCTAAACTAAACTGCCTCGGCTGCGTGGGCTGCACTGACGCCAGGATCCGCAAGCTCCGTCTCGCCCGATCCCTAAACTAACTGCCTCGGCTGCGCGGGTTGCACGGACGCCAGGATCCGCGAGCTCTGTCTCGCCCAATCCCTAAACTAACTGCCTCGACTGTGCGGGCTGCACCGACACCAGGATCCACGAGCTTCGTCTCGCCCGATCCCTAAACTAACTGCCTCGGCTGCGCGGGCTGCACCGACACAAGGATCCGCGAGCTCTGTCTCGCCTGATCCCTAAACTAACTGCCACGGCTGCGCGGGCTACACCGACGCCAGGATCCGCGAGCTCCGTCTCGTCCGATCCCTAAACTAACTGCCTCGGCTATGTGGGCTGCATTGACGCTAGGACGACTCTGTCTCGAATAAAATGCACGCACACACGTCCGCTGACAAAACCCCCCAGACGATTCCGCCCGAATCGCCTAGGGCTCGGGGGCTACACCCGCGGGTGCGCTCGTGCGCACCTGCTAACGAAACGAAACCTCCCCCGCTGGCATTACGAAAAACCCCCCAGACGATTCTGCCCGAATCACCCGGGGCTTGGGGGCTACACCCGCGGGTGCGCTCGTGTGCACCCGCCGTAAAGACAAAAATCCCTCAGACGATTCTACCCGAATCGTCCGGGGGCTCGCGGGCTCCTGTCGGGTTCATAAACTCGGAGTCCCTCATGGACCAGCTTCTCAGCAAAGGCTCGCCCCAGCAGACAACGTTGTGAACCAACACGCAACTCCTGGGCTGGCCCAAATACCTAAACAGCAGGCCAGAAGGGAGATCCAATTTCTGGCCGGAAGGCCTGGCCAAGGAGGAACGGCGCTCGCTTTCAACTCCGGCCCACTTCTCCGATCGGAGCGCTCGCTTCGGTCTTCAGCTCGCCTCCAAACGGCCTCTTCGACCGGAAGCCCTGGCCAAACACCACTTCCGACTCCGACCCACTTCTCCGACCGGAGATGCGCCGAACCTCTGCTTACATCTACTCTCCAACTGGCGCAATCAGAGCCGACTAAGACCAACCGATCGGGGACGCCCGCTCGGTAAGGACCAGGAAACGGATGGAGAAAGTAAGGCAGCGCACTCAAGTCAACCGCAATACCAAGAATCGTATTCTGTACACCTACAGGACAGTACCCTGCGACCTCCCTGGCATGACAGAACAAGCAGTGTTGTAGGCGCCGATATTTTGCCCTACAGTGTTGTGGGCGTCATCAACTCACATACCAGACAAATACGGTAAGGCTCCCCATGTGCCTCTAAGACATCGACAGTGTTGTGGGCGCCGGCATTTACCGTGCCATGCGAACATGGTAAAACCCCCTGTATACCTCTCGGCATCAACAGTATGGCAGGCACCGACATCTGCTATACCAGAAGAAGACGACGCAACCTCCCACGTGCATCTGGCATCAAACAGTATTACAGGCGCCTACCATTATCCTGTACCCGTCGGCGTGGGCAACAAGACTTAGTAGCATACATACTCTCTCCTTCTCACTTATAAGGCCATCCCCTTCATCTATAAAAGGGGATGCGCTCTCTCCCAAAAATTAGATTCATTCAGATCGATAAATTCACTAATACACAACAACAGAACCACTAGGTTCAAACCACAAGCACACGCTCGTATACTTAGCGTATAGCGGGGCTCCCGTCACTCTCGGCCTTTCAGACCAGAGTTCGACCGGACCTCTTGTACCTCTTATCATTCTCCTTCTCGTTTGTAACCCCACTACAAACTTTGAGTACCTGGACTTAGGAATAAAGTCACCGACCGACTCAAACTGGATGTAGGGCACGTTGCCTGAACCAGTATAAACCCTGTGTCATTGAGTGCTAGGCCACCTCCGATCACAACGTAAAATAAAACTACAAATATTTACGTGTTGATCACTTTCTGTACCGACAATGTGCAAGTATTAAACAACTTGTAGACACAAATAGACCACGATTGTCAGTGGGTTATTTGAGTTGTTTAGTTAGCCGTTGGTAAATTCTAAGAACCTGCAGCCAGCATCTTTCTATTGATTATACGAGCCCTAATTGCTGATGAATAAAGTTGGAGGGAGGGCCGTTTCTAAAAGTAAATATCCAGATCCTCTAAAAAAAAATCAACAAATGACCGGAAGAAAACGTAAACGGCCTGTTCGTTGGTTGGATTTTGAGCTAGTTTAGGTTAGTTAATATTAATTTATTGTGAGAGAAAAATACCGTTACACTGATTTATTTAGGCCGGCTGAAACCAAAAGTGAACCGGCTGAAAATGTCGGCAAGCGAGCGAGCAACATCTGTGAAACGCGGCCCGTCCGGGCCTACGCCCCCCCACTGGCATTTGCATTTCGCATTTTGGCTTCCTCGACTCGAGTCATCGTCACCGTCAGGACGTCACGGCCTCGCCTCGCCTGCGCTCTCTCCGCCTGGCGCTTGCAGAAACAGAAACCAGCAGCGATCCCGCCGCGCCGCCCTCGTTCACCGCTTACTGCCGGCGGGATGATCCCGTTCAACCCCGCGGTCGCCGCGGAGGTGCGCGCCCTGATCCAGGGCGCCGAGGACTCCACCTTCGATCCCATATATCGCGAGCTCTCCCAGGTAATACTCCAGCATCAGTTGCCTACCCCAACCGTAGACAAGCTGTCCGTGCTTCGTTAAGGTCGAGCGCGCGTTGCACGACCGATTCGCAATTTGCTTGTCAGGATCCAGCAAACGATCTGCCCATGGTTGATCCCGTGCTTAGAAATGTCTCTAGTGTCAGGATTAATCTAGGGTTTCTGTAGAATCTGCCCACTGTCGATCCAATGTTTAGAAACGCCATTAATATTATGGGTAATGTATGGTTTTTGAGGATTTAGCTGCCATAATCTCCTTTTTAACATGAACATGTATCCTTGTTTGCTCTAACTCTGAAGACACTCTTAGCATGTTTCTTACTAATTATTGGTATTGTTTCAGCTTGTGGATTGTAGCCCTGATGGGTGCGTTTTGTTGCTTCAAGTTTGTGTGGATGAAATGCTCTTGAACATTGGTGGGGCAAAGAACCACCAATTGAAACATGATCTAGTAGCCACCATCTTCAGATATTGTGTGGATAAACCCTACTTCAGCACCAGTTTCTGTGAAGCATTGAGGGCAATACCTGTCAGCGATGGGTTCCTTGAAACACTGTCCAATGAACTTGAGTTATCTGCAGCTGAGAGGGTTGGAGTTGGACTTGCTCTCTCAGATTCTGAGAATCCAGACTTGAACCTGGAAGGTAAATAGTTGGATTTCGGAAAGCTTTTTTTTAGTAGAAATAGATTTGCTTTGTGAACTATTAGTTCACTTCCTTGATATGCTTATCTGATTCTTTCTATGCAGGGAGAAAATTTACAATTGCTCAAATTGAGGAGTTATGCTCAAACCATGCTCATTCTGTATCAAATGAACGGATCCAGGAGATTGTTGTGTTTCTTCTTCAGACTGAAGGCCTCTCAAAGCATATGGACTCCTTTACTAAGATTGTTTCCCTATTAAATGTCGAAGAGGGGCCATTCTATTTTCCTGTCCCACTTCAGCAAGCCAATAGTGATCAAGCAAATTCTTTGAGGTTTTCAGAGTTGCCTCGTTTATATATGTTTGTTCCATGTATCAGGTTGCCTTATTCACACATTTTTCTTTTCTTTCTTTGTGTTGTACAGATATACAGAGATGTGCATTGGTAGCTCAGATGATGATTTTGACTCCCTTCTATCTGAAATTGGAAAACAAATAAGCCTGCCTGATATCATCAGTAAACTGGGATATGGATGTACTTCTGATACTACTCATTGTAAAGAAATGTTATCACTCCTTGAGCCTCTTGATGATATGGGAATCTCTAAGTTACTAGGGGCGGTTGTTTGCACTCGTATTGGTGTTGGAGAAGCTCAAAATACATATTCAGTATTCCTTTCGGCTTTTGGGAACAACCAAACAATTGACTCATCTCAGTTGACTGCATGGAATATTGATGTCCTTGTGGATTCAATCAATGAAATTGTGAGACTTGACTATCTTTGTTTTTGGTGCTCATTTGTTTTTTTTCCATTTCTTTCTTTTACAGTACTTGCAAACTGCAGGCACCTGGAACTAACTGGACACATGTAATAGAAAATCTTGATCATGAGGGTTTCACTATCCCTGATGAAGCAGCTTTTCGTTTATTGATGTCTATATATTCTCGAGCCTGCAAGGTATTTACCATTATTTCTTGTTCTGGATACTAGATTTCTAAACTGTTCAGCTGACTTGTTTATGGAATCATGTAGGATCCATTCCCACTTCATGCCATCTGTGGGTCACTGTGGAATAATACAGAAGGACAGTTGTCATTCTTGAAACATGCAGTGGCATTGCCAAATGATACATTTACTTTCGCACATTGTACCAGGAAGATGGTATCTCATCCTAGTATATTGTAAACTTTCGCTTCTTAATGAACATGCACGCATATAACCTTTGTCGTATTCTTTAGGCTTTTCCAGACTTGGGAAATCGTAACCAAGGCAACCAGGCTTGGTACTGCCTTGACCTTCTTGAGGTGTTATGTCAGCTTGCCGAACTTGGCTATGCAAAGCCAGTGCGAGCAATGCTTGATTATCCTCTGATCAATTGTCCTGAAGTGTTACTTCTTGGTGTTAGCCATATCAATGTAAGTTTTGAGTCCTTAGTGTCTCAGAACTAATAATATTTGTTAGCTGCATCCTTGAGTAATTCATATTTGTTAACTATCATGAACTCTAATCATCTTTTGCAGATTGCATATAATCTCATCCAGCACGAAGTGTTGTCTTGTGTTTTTCCTGCTGTGGTGAAGAACATGCACAGCAGTCTTATGAATTATCTCTGGCATATCAACCCTTACCTTACTCTTCGAGGATTTGTTGATGCTCATTCTGACATAAGTTGTCTTCTGCGAACTGTTGAGATATGTGAAGACCTAAAGGTATTACAGTAGACGACCCTTATGTAGCGAGTTGGCTACTGAACAACCTTATTACAATTCCCTTTTGCAAGTTGAATTGTCTCTGTTTTTTCATGTAATTTAACAAGTCCTAATTGGGTAAGCTGATTCTTATTGTATGCATGTGAATATTGTCATAAAAAACTTGAAACTTGTACTTGTCACATGGACCGTTTAAGTTGGATTTATGCTAATGGCAATTCTTGACTGCTAAACTAGTCTGTTAACACTACAGGAAAAAATGTTAAAACTATAAACTAGCTAAAGTGATGGTGAGGACTGAGGGTACTATACAAGTCTTAAAGTTTAAACTGTGGATAACATGCATTAACACAACAATGGATTTAATAATACATTTCACACTGGAGGCTCCAGCATGGCTTATGAATTGATAATATATACGAGCCAGTTTTCTGTTGAAAGATTGAAAGAAGATGCTTGGTCCACATTGGATCAGCTCATAAAATTAAACACTTCACAGAAGCAACCTTGGGTTGTGTTTCGGTTTTGTAGTAGATTAAAGTCCTAAACATTGCAGAATAGCAATTAGCCAATTATGTGCTGCTCTGTTTGAACTTTGAAGAATTTTTTTACACTAGCTTTAATTACCGAGTTTTTGTAGGTGGATGCGGCATTCATATTGGCTGTGCAAGAATAGTTTATTCTGATATTAAAGGATTTAGTTACTGCTTGAACCATAATCCTTTTTCATTTTCCCCCTGAAACAGATCTTGGCTACTGTCCTTGATTCCACCCCGTTTGCATTTAGCATTAGACTTGCTACAGCTGCCTTTAGGAAGGACCATAGCCATCTTGAAAAATGGCTGACTGAAAAGTTGAGTGCACAAAGAGTGACCTTTCTTGAGGTAATACACATGACTTCACAAATCATGCTACATAGTCATGAAGATGTTTTCATTTTCTATATGTACTGCTAGTTCTGCTTGGCATTATGATTTACATGCTAGTACTATATTCCCAGGAATGTGTTCAATTCTTGAAAGAGATTATGATAAGCACAAATTATAATGCTATGGAAGGTGCCATTCAACATCTTCAAGCTACTCTTTCAAATATCTGCTGGGACTCTTGCCCTGTATTTATAAAGGTTTCAGTTATCTTATTTTCATTTGTGCTCTTGTTATGGTCTATGGACTTACTTTTCAAATCAAATGAGTAAACATATGAGCAAATGATGTACGTTTACAGGTTCTTCGTTCTCACTCGGGGCAGCTGCTGTCTAACCAACTGGTGGATGAACTAAGGAGAGTTGAATCAGTGTATGAATCAAGTAATCGTGGTGATGTAGGAAGGGACATGCCTTCTTCTGATGGAGGTTCTGAAGACATCGAAGCTCAGGCAAATATTTATTTTCAACAGATGTTTGCTGGACAGATAAGCATTGATGCTATGATACAAATGCTTGCACGCTTCAAAGAATCAAAAGACAAGAGGTATTTTTCATTTTTTCAATTTTCCGTACTTGATCTTTGTTCTGCTTAATCTGTTGCCTATCTCACTCAAATGTGTGTATCATAACAAAACTGCAAAACTAGGTATCTAATAAAATGACGCTTAATGAGGGCTGTGCGACTATTCCTTTATATAAAAAATATTGAGATGTTATGAAAGCTGTACTATATGCATACTATGTTGTGGCTTTAAATATTGAGACCGAATCCACGTGTCCGCGTCCGATACGAAGTCCTTGAAGCTCACGCGTCCGCGTCCGATTATTGAAGTTCAGTTCAAAAAATCGTGACCTTGGTGCAATGCATGGGCATATATCAAGTGACTTGTTTATTTGCATACACAGTCATGTAAATTAGCTGTTTGAGTTATATTCTGGAAACAACTGCCAACATCTTCACTTTTTGTCCGTGATGACTTGTTTTAATGTTGAATTCTATCTATTCTGTTTGTTCACTTGCTGATGTCTTTATTTGATAATATTATTATGGGTAAACAGGGAGCTATCAATTTTCAACTGCATGATCTCAAATTTGTTTGAAGAATACAAGTTCTTCCCGAAGTATCCAGATGCACAACTTAAATTAGCTGCTGTGCTTTTTGGTAAGTGTTGGCTTTTCTTGCTTTGTGTTCCTAAGTTTATACAGAAACACATTTGCATTGGACAATACATTATTTACTAATAGTTGCAATGTATTTCAGCATGTTGTTGTCTACTAGAGCTTTGCCTTTTTCTTACCAAGCCTTCTGACATCTTCCCGTGTTTTTTTATGCAAAGCTGTAGCTTGGTCTTGGTTCATTGTGACTCTTTTTTGGTTTAATATTTGGGAAAATAGTGTGGCAGTTATGACTTATGAGAGATACATGAGTTAGGTGGTTTCAATTTTTTTTCATTACTCTGGTTTCTTTTCAATACTCATTTTGATCTTGTGGAAGAAATATTTGTATCCCACACGCATGCTTTGCTTGTATCTGGGTTGTCTAAGTTGGATGATACTTGGCAGCATTGTCAAAATAACCAGGCTATCATGTTCTTTGATTCTGTTTTGCTATGTATTTGTGTTTACCATGTCTGTGAGTATCGCGCTGAAGTCATTATCTGCTTAAGGAAGCTGATTCTGTTCTTCTGTTTGGATATAGGCTCTGTCATTAAACATCAACTTGTGGCCCACCTGGCACTTGGAATTGCTCTACGGGGTGTTCTTGATGCCCTGCGTAAATCCATTGATTCGAAGGTTTGTTTATGGTTGTTTTCTTTCAGTTGTATCTACTCTCCCCCATTACTTACTTATTTATGAAAACTCTACATCTGATTGCATGATGGTCGCAGATGTTTATGTTTGGTACAACAGCGTTGGAGCAGTTTATGGATCGAGTAATTGAGTGGCCACAATATTGCAATCATATACTGCAGATTTCACATCTTCGTGGGACACATGCTGAGTTAGTTTCTGCTGTCGAGCAAGCACTTGCCAAGATATCGTTGAGTCAAAATGAGCCCAATTTGAGCCCCATGCCTCCTGTGGATCAGCGAGTTTCTGGTTCACAGTCTATTGAAAACATAGAGGTACACTCACATCCATTAGGTCAAGAAGGAAACATTCAACTGGTTGTAATAACAGAAGCTTGTTTGTGCATGTTTTTTTTTGCCACTTTTCTAAGAAGGTTATTCATTCACATCATCACCTATTCCTTTTTTCTGAAACAAATGCTTCGTGTATGTAGTCTTCTGAAGCATCATGGCAGTTCATAAATTCAACTCCAACACAACTAGATAGGACAATTTCTTCCTTTGCATTGCAACAGAGGAATCAGGGATTTCTCGGGGAGAGGTCCAAAGGCTCTATTAATACCAGTCAAACAAAAACCATCGTGGACTAGTGGTCAACCTCCTCTCACTTCAACTAGTGATTTGGGTGTCAATTCAAAGGTATTGTATGATGTTACATTTCCATGTCGTGTGATGCTTGACAAACGTAGAAATCTGTATTCTATACTTTTGCATCTCTTGAATATTCAGTTTAACATTATGTTTTCATTAATTGTTGCAAAATCTGAACATGTGCAGGCTACTGTATCACTGTCGTCTCAATCTTCACCCCATCATTCTAGCAGCGTATCAGCTCTTTCACAATCTTCTGGTTTTGTACGATCTAGAAGTTCAGCTCCATCAGGTTATTTTCACGCTCACATAGAGTAAATATTAACCAGGAAGGTGGTAGCTAACTGTAGTTATTTCTGCTCTTAATATATGGCATGGCTAGATTTGTGATATGTCCCATTGTTTTGCAGGCATTCTTCGACAACCTTCCTACACTACAGGATTTGGATCTGCTTTAAATATCGAGACTCTTGTTGCTGCAGCTGAACGAAGAGATACACCAATTGAGGTTTGTTTAGTTTTTAGGGCGAATTAACACCAGAAGTCTTTGTAAACTTGTGTGGGAACCCTAAAGACTAGAATACAATTTGAAGACCTAGAGGAGCCTGGTGCAAGTGGTAGAGTCTTACCGCTTGTGACCGGAAGGTCCCGGGTTCGAGTCGCGGTCTTCTCGCATTGCACAGGCGAGGGTAAGGCTTGCCACTGACACCCTTCCCCAGACCCCGCACAGAGCGGGAGCTCTTTGCACTGGGTACGCCCTTTTTTTAGAGGACACAATAGATCAGGTTTTGAGGGCATTGAGTATAGTTTTTATTATTTTATTTGGATCCTTATTCTGTAAGATAGTGCATAAGTTTTATTATAGATTAACTTTTCTGTTGCCACCTAGGCCCCTCCACCTGAAGTTCAAGACAAAATTTTCTTCATGATCAATAATATTTCCATTTCTAATATGGAGGCTAAGGCAAAAGAGTTTAATGAGGTTTTACAGGAGCATTATTATCCTTGGTTTGCACAATACATGGTCATGAAAAGGTAGACATTGATGATACAATTGTACTTTCTTTTATTTCAATGCAACAAAACATGTTCAATTTTAGGATTGTGCACGTCTTCGCAGGGCAAGCATTGAACCGAATTTCCATGACTTGTATTTGAAATTCTTCGACAAGGTTAACTCAAAATCATTGAATAAGGAAATAATGAAAGCTACATACGAGAACTGCAAGGTCATGTTCACTCATATTTGTCTTTTTATTTTTTTGGTCATGCTCTGCTTGAGACTTTTTTTTTCCCCAACAGGTCTTGTTACGGTCGGATCTTATCAAATCTAGTTCTGAAGAGCGTTCGTTGCTAAAAAATCTTGGTAGCTGGCTTGGAAAATGCACTATAGGTAGGAATCAAACATTACGAGCAAAGGAAATTGACCCAAAAATCTTAATAGTTCAGGTAAGTACTTGTATTTAAATCAGTTTCTTTTCTTTGTTCATTCTATAATTCTGTGTCATGCTTGTTTTCGTAACCTGCATGTTTTGCTGTTAGTTGCCTCATCCAGTCTTCTAACTTCTAAACTTTGTTAATTCTGTGCATCTCTTGCTGCATTTCGCTTTTGGAATCTGGATTGAATGCTGAATTAAGTAGTGGTCAATGATGCTTATCAAGCAGTTCAAGCAGATGATGCTTTAGCCATAATGCTTCTTCCTGACCTGACATTCAATTTTGATTTCCTCTTTTCAGGCTTATGAAAGGGGGTTGATGATTGCGGTCATTCCGTTTACTTCAAAGGTGCTGCTCTTTATCTTGATCTTATCTTATTTTTTTCCTAAGAAAAAAGAAACATAGCCATTATTGTGCTTTTCATTGTGATACTGTTGTTTTTTCAGATTCTTGAACCTTGCCAATCAAGTATAGCATATCGTCCTCCAAATCCCTGGACGATGGGTATTCTTAGTCTTCTTGTTGAGATATACAATCTACCTAATCTCAAAATGAACCTCAAGTTTGACATTGAGGTTTGTGCATATTCAAAGTTGTGGTAATAAGGGATATGTTCTGCTTAAAAGAATGATATCTAATTGTGATTATTTGGTGTCATAGGTCTTGTTTAAGAATCTTAGTGTGGACATGAAAGATGTAAAACCATCTTCTCTTCTTAAAGATCGGATTCGGCAGGTTGTCGGAAATCCAGATTTTTCAAATAAAGATGTTATTGCATCTCAAACACCTGCAGCAGCGGCGGTCTCTTCCGGTATCGTTCCTTCACTGAACCATGTAGAACTACAATCTGAGATCAATAGCACTTCACGTGCTACAAGCCTTCCAAATATGCTTAGTCAGGTCGGTTCACTTCTCTAGTCAGCGAAGATTTCAGCTTTTTGCATTTTCTAATATTTCAATTCATCTAGAGTACTTCTGTTGTGCAGTATGCAGCACCTATTCGCCTACCCCCAAACAGTATGGTTGAAGATGATAAGGTTGCTTTAATCATGCCTGAACAAGTTAGCTCTCACAGCCTGACCCAGGTTGCACCACCTCAAACACCATCACCGTCCCCATTTTCTTTGAGTCAGGTTGAGACTCGTTGCTTTTCTATGCCCCATGCCCTTCTCCCTTTCTTTAATTTCAATATTTCTGTACTTATTCGTTAATGGATTCTTTACAGCTTATGGCAGCAATTCCACGTGCTGATATATATTTCAGAATCAATGAAAAGCTTAACTCACTTGGCCCACAATTGCCGTATAGCAAGTATGTTTCTCTATATAAGCTTACCTCACTATAGTTTCTTTTAATCATCTGACAACACTCTTGATCTTCATAGAATCATGAACGTGGCATTAGATAAGGCTATTAAGGAGATTATAGGTCCTGTTATTCAAAGAAGTGTTACAATAGCTAGCCGAACCACTAAGGAACTCATTCTAAAGGTAAACATATTGTAATGTTTCAGTAATTGTCGATCGACAATCGGCATAGATATTTGTATTACTGGTGGATTTATTTGTAACAGACTGCATTTACTTTCCTGTAGGATTATGCAATGGAATCTGATGATGGGACCATTTCTCGCTCTGCACATTTGATGGTTGGTACATTAGCAGGAAGTTTAGCCCATGTTACTTCCAAGGTATTTATTCTTAATTCTTATTTGATTTGGTGACATATCTTTTTAGAATAATAGGACATCCAAGCCATGCTTAAGTACAACTCTTTTAGTTGTATTTTCAACTTGATTAGTATGTTCTGGTTGGATATCATCTACAAAGGATTACATTCAATTCTTTTGTTTCTGTTGCAGGAGCCTCTTCGTGTTGCTTTGTTATCTAATCTTCGAAGTCTTGTTCAGAACCTGATTAGCAATAGTGAAACCACTGAACAAATTAGTCACATCCTTGTTAATGATAATCTGGATCTTGGATGTGCTCTAACAGAGACTGTGGCAACACGCAAGGTACCTCTTTGACATTTTTTTGTGCCTTTTGGCAAATTGCATATTCTCTCGAACTACGCAAGAGAGCTGCGTGTCATTTCATTAAGAAGAAAAAAGATACAAAAGGGAGGGAAGTAAGAAACCCCCTCCCAGGCACCCCCATGGGGTTTATTCAAAACAACATACTACTTAGAAAATAAACTAGAAAAAACATGACCAGCTACCACAAAATGACCAAGGACCTAGGGATCCAAGACCAACGACCTAGCAAGGAACTCATTTAAAGCCGAAGCTCCCACTGTGCACCATAAATTACTCTCATTGGCCACAGATTGAAGCAGCACCTCTGTGCTAGGCGTAGCACCTTCAAAAACACAAGCATTTCGGTGCTTCCATAATTCACAAGCAACTAAGATGATCAGACTATTGAGGCCTTTGCGCGATCCTCTTGGAACGCCTTTGATGGTGCCACACCACCAACCAGAGAAGCGAATATTGGATCCTTGAGGAGCAAAAGACAGAAGGTCCAGCTTTTGAAAAATCATGGTCCAAATCTGTCGGGCGAACACGCATGAGATGAGGGTGTGTTGAATATTTTCCTCAGCCTGATCACAAAGCGGGCATGCTGGCGGGTGAGGAAGCCCACGCTTGGCAAGGTGATCAGCTGTCCAACACCGGTTGTTAATGGCCAACAAAAAAAAAAAATACACCACAAGGGTGCCCAGCTTCTCCAAATACGCTTCCAAGGCGCAAGCCTGATGCTTCCAAAGAAAAAGGCATTGTATGCAGACCTGCTGCTGTATGTTCCAGAAATACTTAGCTTCCATTTATGCTGATCAGGAACTGTTGGCTGTAAAACCAGGTCATCAACCAATCCCCAAATAAGCAGATACTCTCTTAGCACTTGTACAGTCAAAGCCCTCTAATATCTGCCACCCAACGTCTATTGTCCAGGGCCTGGGCCACCGTGCGTTGCTTTACAACTCTTTTGGAGATCAAGCTGAATAGATTGGGTGCGAGTTCAGAGATTGTCCTGCCTTGCCCATCTATCTGACCAGAATTTAGTTGACTCACCATTACCAATTGAAGTTTCAACAGCAACATTGAAGAGGGCTAAGGCATTTTGTGGCACCTGGATTGGCGATCCTGCCCAAGATCGAGATGCATCAGTTTTTTTGTGCCCAAAGCCAGCGGATGCGCAGCGCCCAACCAAGAGTTTCTAAGTTGTGAATTCCAAGACCATCAACAGTGGCAGGCAGCCTAGTCAGGCTCAACCACAATAGGGAGCCACGACCTGGCCAGCCCAGCCCAGCCAACCGAGCAAGCAGGGAGTAGTAGTGATAGTATGTGAGGAAGTTCAATGTGCATATTCTTTTTTTTAACTTTTATAAGTTCTATTTATTTGGTAATTTGTTACATATATTATATTCTATGATGGCAATAATGGCATAAGGCAAACTATGAGATTTGCAGAATCACAGTGCCAATGGTATTATTGCAGGCTGTTGAGATGATTGATGGAGACATAAAGCAACCTTTTGCACAACTCAGGAGACAAAAGGAACTACAAGGCTCAGCTTATTATGATGTTTCTCCTTACACTCAAGGTCTTACACGTGTCCCCGATGTACTCTGTCCTAAGCCTTCTGGTAATTTGTCTGTTGTCCAACGACGAGTATACGAGGTGAAATAGCATCATGAATTTATTCATTTTCAGTCAATTTTCATTTCCAACACCTGCATCTTATTTTGATGTCAATTTCAGGACTTCATCACTGTGTGGCATAGCCAGAGTAGTCAAAATGCTGGTGCAACAACTTCTGCTACAACAGTGGCCATTGCCCCAACCGAATCCAGTACTGCTTCAGTTCATGGACCAATTTTAGCACCATCAGCCTCCAGTAGTTTCTCAACTCTCCAATTTGCTGCATTCACATCTGCAAATCATTCAACAGAACTAATACCTGACAAGATAGATCCTGGTGCTACACAACTTTTAAGGTAAGGATGAGGACTCCCTCTTTTGTCTTACTTGTACATTGATTGAAGCACCTTGTTCGGATGTATTATATTTTTCCATGACAGTGTTTCTGCTCAAATTAGTACGACTGACAGTTCTGGCCAAGCTTGTGGAATCACAAATGTTGCATCGATTTTTCCTCCTATGGCCTCTGGTGATCTTCTAGTGGGTGAACTAGCAACTGCAACTAAAGTTAGTAACTTATAGTCTTGTGTTCACATGAAGTAAACTGAAGAGTGTTTGATTAAAGGGTACTCTTGATTAAACTTTGCACAACTATGCTCCCAGGATGTAGGTTCTGCGATACCACCTTCACCCACAGTTGCTATCAATCATCTAGGATCTGCTTTTCCAGAACTGCTGAATACTGGTGATGCATTGGACAGATATCAACATGTTTGGCAGAAGGTAATATTATTTTGTACATTGGGAAATAACTGTATTGGATCCAGTAGTATCATAGAGGAACAGCATGATCTATGCCAGTATGTCAGGTACTAAACTAACATAAAAGTGGAGTAACTTCCTGTAATGTTTGTCCATGTTATATGCTATAGTTTGAAACCTTGCATGTGGATTTTAGTGTCATTTCTTCTTTGGCATATGCAAATGATCTTCAACTGCAAATCACAATACTATTAGACCTTGTTAAGTATGCTTTATTTTTTTCTGCTCTAGATGCCATCTGTGTTAATGTCTCGTACACATTTTGGGCAATGGTATTGTTGATCAGTTTCCCCATTCTCTGTATCTTTCAGCTTGAAACCTTGATTGTAAACAATGGGAAAGATGTGGAAATTCAGGTCAGCCTGCTGGCTACATATTTGAATATTTCTTACTAGGGGTTTCATTTTTTTTATATTTTAATTTCTTCTATTGGTAGGCTAGATACATTTTCTCATAAATTAATCCTTTCTTGACAAAGTGGCATCTATGACTGTTGTTGTGTTTAGTCTGTTATCGCCGAAGTTCCTGGTATCTTGTGCAGATGTGTGAGTCGGGATGAAGCCGCTTTAGCAGTTGCACAGAAGGTTTGTCATCAGTTATGTTACACGTTCTGTTCCATTTATTGTCTCTTTCCTTGAGTTTTTTTCCCTTTGCTGTTTTGGTTCCAGGTTTTCAGAAGTTTGTATGAAAATGCATCAAAGAGCACTTTTGTCACATGGCTTCTAGCAACCCTTGTTGCAGTGCGTGATGTTTGCAAACTTGTCATGAAAGAGTTAACAAGCTGGGTATATTTCTCCACAGTAGTCATCTCCTTTTATTCTAAAGTAAAATTTGATCAACGCCACTTCTAGTTTTTTTTGTAAGATCTGATTCTATTGTCTTTTCTTCTTGTGATGATCTATTTACTGCTGTAGAAATCAGGATAGTTTTCTCTCTATGCATTGTATTTGAATTTAGTGGCGAGAGACTCTTTTTTTCTCTGAAACACACGGGAGAGCTGCATATCTTGTATTGAAGAGAGAAGAGATGGTCCCTTAAAAGACCCTTACAAACAACCACTCTAACTCCACTAAGGCTTAGTTTGGGAGGAGAGGGCAGATCCGCCCAGGGAGCAGCAGCTCCTAGGGGGATTTTTGTGGACCATCGGATCCCCCTCCACGGCAGGGGAGATCAACCCTATTCCCTGCTGCTGTTTGGGAGCATCTGACTCCAGGGAAGATCTTACATGTGTGAACCAAAAGAGATAAAAACATCAGTTAAAGACATGCCAAAATCAAGAAAAAAATGAAAATCTAAAGATCGTAAGAAAGATAAAAACATCAGTTATTTGATGATATAATTACATGCTCTGCATCATCATTATTACATACATACATACATACATAAATAAATAAATAGCTAAAAACTCAGTACTCCATACAGTACTTTGCTCTGAACATTAGCCTCAACATGGCATTCTTCAGTTTTCTTCTGAACAATGATGATGATGTTCTATTACTCCTGAAGCCTCGAACTCAAGGAGAGCACAGGACAAACTAACAAATTGCTTAAGGAGACAGATCATGCGTCATCACAGTATATATGTAATTACTAACTAGCATGTTCATCAAAGTAAATTAACTACGGATACAATGTTGACCTAGCACGGTCCGCCATCTCCTTTTGGGTGTTGGTTGACTCCACCTCCAGTTTTCCTACATAACCATAACAGCATAGCTCGATGCTTAGGGTACACATACAAAAACAAAAACGTACTTAGATGGAACTCTGTAGTAATAGACTGTAAGTACCTTTCCATAAACAAACACTATAAGTATTAAACATGGACTGTATCAAATGTAACATTAAATCAACAGGAACTGATAGTATTAAACATGGACTGCAGCAACAAATCATATGCTGCAGCTGAGGCATAGCCATCCTATCCTATACTTGTCTCTTACTACCAGTAACTGTAAGTGCTACTACAGGCAGGCTCATTGGTATGCTACATGCAATTACCAAGATCAAATAGAGGGACATGGTCTGACCTCGCTGTCTGACGGTGAGAGCAGAGTTGTTGTGGTGTTGACTGTCAAAAGAAAGCACGGTCAGTTGAGTTTCAGTTGAAAGCACATTCAGTTGTCAATTAACTGTGATCCGAGGACTAACATGATTTATACAGGAAAGGTAATGAAATGTAAATAACTGTTACATTTAACATCCAGCATATGTGAAATATGCTTAATCTGTCTAGCCGATGTTATTACAGTACAAGCTATGCCCACAGCGACGTCTAGAAGCATGAGCATGGACAGACAAGAAATAAGCTATGTGCATAACGAATACAAGCTAAGTTCTTAGGAAAGAAACAAGACAATCAAGATGTTATTACCCAACTCATACATTCACCTGACAAACTGCGCATGTACATGGAACTCCATAATTTATTTAAATAAATCAGGAAATAGCTTCAGTAGAGGACCCAGTAGAACCCAGTGGACGCAGCTAAGATGTGCAACATTGTGGCAGAAGATGATCAGAAATTCAGAATCGATTCTACGCCAAAATCCAACAGGCTTGAGAGGCCAGGAGATCCTACTCGATCCAAGAACACACAAAGATGAATAGACACTGAGATGTGCAATGGGATACATTTCAGCCAAGATAAACAATTTTGCAGCTCCAGTTCCTCTTATAGAAACAATTTTTCTTGTGCGATTCAGGCCAATTCATCTTGATAACGTACTACTACCATCTCCAATCTAAGAAAACAAGTACGATAGAACTGACGCAATGGCCTCAGGTAAGAATCAGCAGATCTAGGAGAGGAACTTGAACTGGATCTTGGAGCTGACCTGTACTGGATCTTGAAGCTGAGATGGAGGTGGCGGCGGTCATGTGTCGATGGTGAGGGGCACCTCGGCAGTCGCATATCGAGGACATTGTCTTGTGACATTAGTTTCCACTTCATTGATACTAGACATGAGGGAGGCATTAGTTTGGAGGGTCAGGTAGTGCCCAAGCAAGATACCCTTTGATATTTGGGGCTAATGCTACAGAAAGGTGGGGTAATCGATGAAGCTGTTAGCGTAGATTAAAGTGGGGTGGGTGAAAGGGTGCTAAATGTCTGGAATTTTCTGTGGCTGGAGGTGCCACAGAAGCTAAAAGGTGAGTTCTACAGAACAACGATTAGATCTACAATGTTGTTCTAGTACATCCTAGGCCAACATCCAGCAATTAGACCTAAAAATGCTGTTTTTAGCCAACATTAAGGAATTTAACATATTAACTAGCAGAACCCTAAGTCCCTAAATGTGCAAGCTAGTCACTTTGCCCTTTTCGGTTTTATAGTGAGTTATGGATGCATAGGCGTCAGCACTGTGAATCCAACAGACTGCTCTGGATAACTAAGATGATCCATGTGCCATCCACAATCACCTTCTAGACACTTTCAGTTTCCCTCGTTCTCTTCTGGCTGATATAGTTGCAATCTTGCATACATGATCATAGCAACACACATGACATCTTTGGATCTGGGAGCAAGTGGCATGTTTCTATACGTCTAGTGACTTCGAGAGCACTCTTTTCTTGTTCTGCAAAGTAGAATTGTCTGGTGCCATGTTTATTTAGATTTGTTGCAATTTATTTATGTATTTTTTGTTTATTAATTGGACTTCCTGTACAGGTAATATATTCAGATGAAGAGAAGAAATTTAACTTGGAGATAGTTATTGGACTTATTAGTTATGATCTGCTTAATCTTGGGGAGTATAATTCTCATTTGGCAAAGCTTATAGATGGTGGAAGAAACAGTAAGTCAAAACAGAACTTATTCCTTCTGTATGTAGAATTCAAGAATGAAAACAAAAACACCTTGCATAATGAGTAGCTGTTATGGGCAGTGCTATGCTCATTAGCTAGGCCCTTATAACAAAGGTTCATGAGCTTGCCACCCCTACTTGTGTGGTTCCCAAAAATTTGATCCCCTTCTATTCTCTAATCTTGCTCTTCATGATATCTCTGCGTCCATCTTCTCCCCCTTTGTCATCAATTTCCACACAAGGCTAACTCCCAAGTGGTGTCACGCAAGACCGTCAACACCTTTAGCACTAAGTTTAGTTGTTCTTGTGCTAGTGTAGTTTCTAGTTAGTGTTCTTTTGCTCACTAGTATGTGTAAGAGCCCTTGTGCTTGCTTGAGTTCTACTTGCTTAGCTTATTGACCTTGCATACTCGACTGGTTTAGGTGAGCTCTCAGTAGCTTGGCACTTTATTTGCTCTCTTGTTTAGTCTCTTGTTAGGGTGCCCGTGAACTTAGTTAGAGGGGTGTAGTCGTGACTAGACCTTTAGTTTAAGTCCGCATTTATTTTGCCTAGCCTTCGTGATCCAGTTTTAGAAAAGACTATTCACCCCCCTCTAGTCAACCATCTCGATCCTATAGGATGTTATATTTGGTAGTTAGGGATATTGTAATCCTGTATTGCCATGTGTATCGGAGAGGTGTCTTGCCCCCCAAGTCTTGTACTCTATTTGTACCATTCGAGGGCTCATTGCAATACATAAACACATTATACCCAATCCTTCCTGCTTTCACCTCTAAACTCATTAAGCAATGTATATGCTAAAGGGCAGACCCAGTGCCGGAGGCTCCCACATGAGTGGGGTCTGGGGAAGGGAAAAACCGAGGCAAGCCTCCCCCCCACCCCCCGCAAAATCTGCGGAGAGGCTGCTTCGAACCCGCGACCTGGTGACTCAGTGAGACAGCTCTCACCACTGCACTAGGCCTGCCCTTCTAATGTATATGCTACTGCATACTTTTTAATATTCTGATCATTGTGTGTGGACTGCATTTGCTTGTCCTCAGAGACGGCAACAGAATTTGCTATATCACTCATCAAGACATTGGTTACCCAAGAATCCAGTAGCGTCTCCGAGCTTTTTAATGTTGTTGATGCCTTATCGAAGGTATTTGGAGTGTATATTTTATGTTTCCCTCGTCTCCTAGTTGGCTTGCGATTGCGAGTAATGGTAATGTTTGCTGTGTTACAGCTTGCAATCAGGCCTGGGTCACCTGATTCATTGCAGCAATTGGTTGAAGTTGCAAGGAGTACCTTGAACAGCAGTACTAATTACACTGCTTCAAAGGATGAAAAGGTTATTCAATCAAGGGATAAAAAGGTCTGAATATTGATAAATGGTTACTGATGTCCATAGAATGTATGCCCTTTCTGACTATGGTAAATTGCTCCTGAATGGTGATAGGTTGTATCTGGTCAACCTTCGATGAATAATGAAGAAGATAATGCTGATGGCATTGCTTTTGCTAATGCTGCTGATTTTCAGGACAAGGTTTATGAAACACATTTAACTATCTTTTCTTTGAAAATGAGGCAAAATTTATTTTTTCCCCAAGACTTTGTTTATGATGTTGCATCAATAAGTGTCTTGCTTTTATTAAAGGTGTTGCAAGAATACACTGAATCCGTAATGTAGTTTAGTGAGCCTTTGTGGTATTTTTCAAGTACATAAAAAATTTAATAGTTCATTGTTTAATAGTTCATTGTTTATTACTGCTCAACTTGTTTGGGACTTAAAGGCTTTGTTGTTGTTGTTGTTTATTACTGCTACTGTTTTGTAATCAAGATGGTAAATACCATAAATATATTGGTGTATGTATCCTTTTTTGATGCTCTGTTGTTTGGTGTAATAATTCTAGTTTTGGTTGCCTGACACAGGTTTAATTAGGATACTCCCTACAGTACTCTCCACTGAACCTAGTTCTTTTACTATACTGGAGAGCTAATATGCTAATTCATTGGTGCACAGGTTGCGGTCTTGTTTTCTGAATGGTGTCAAATATGTGACCATCCCACCACAGATTCAGTATATAGTCATCACATTGTGCAGTTGCAACAGAATGGCTTGCTGAAGGGAGATGATTTGACTGACCGTTTTTTCTTTAGTCTAACGGTAATTCTTTTACTCTTGTTCTATATTTTACTGATCCACATGATACTTGAGTTCTGATGTTATAAAATTGTCCAGGAACTTGCTATCGCACACACTATAGTGCCTGAGCAAGCTATTGCTCCTAGTGGACTATCTCCGCAGCCATCCCAGCAACATCAGATTTCTTATTTTTCAATTGATTCATATTCAAAACTTGTGACTTCAGTTGTCAAGGTATATTCAACTCTGTTCTATTTTTGTGCTCATAACTTTTGGAGTGTAGGTTTCTGTGCATTGGTTATCCTCGATTATAGGCAAATGAGACTTCATGTGCATAATATTTCCTGTTGGAAATAATCCTGTGTCTAGGTGCACGGTCTTTAGTAGTAGCTAAATTTTAGCATAGAGTAATGGGATTAGTAGGCAGATTATAGTAGTTAATTTGTGCATTAAATAGGAGGTAATTCTCAGCCTTTATTTGTAGCTCTTGGCTGTCTATATAATGAAGAAAAATCGGCAAAAACCTGCAACCATTTGGCAGCACCCAACTACTATTTATGTGTGTGTTTTGCTGAGTCCCAGGGAACCTGTTGAGGGCTAAGGCCTTTCATTTCCTTTTAGGAGGCTTAAACGAAGCTCACAGTTACGGTCAATTCAAGTTCATCTGCTTATATGTCGAGTTCACTATTAGGGTCCAGTCAGCAGTCAGCTTGAACATTCTGTTTGATTTGTCGGGCCTTGCTAGCAGCATGCTAAACTTAATACTTTTTTGAACAGTTGAACTGTTAGTGTGAACTGTAAAAAACAGTTAAATGGCCCACTGCTAAAAATATTTTTTTAACAGTCAAAATGTCACATGTGAACTCAAATTTCATATGAACTAGTGAAGTGTGGATATATGGGAAAAGTTCTCATGTGAATTCCTTTTTCTTTTGGAAAGAATCCACAAAATTTCATCTTTAATCTTGACTTGCTTGAAGAAAATGGATTGTGAACTATTCAAGTCTGGTTGTGGTGTCATAGGACATCCCTTCCTCTGTACTTAACTGCCTTCCTGGATTAGGTTGTTTTAGTTTTAGTTACATCTTTTAATTGCTTTATAGATTAAATGACTATAAACCTATGTCAGCATAAAACATTAACCAGTGCTGTTGCTGAACTTTCTTCAAATATATTGCTTTAGAGTAGAAATATGTTCATTTCTGTTTGAGTTATTTTATTCACTAAATAATTGCCCATAACATGTTTTATAGTTGATTTTACAGCAAAAGTTTTTTTAATCGCTGAGGAAGGGTAAATTTGATGTGGAAAACATAATTTTATTGCTAATGGTACTTCCTGTTAATATTTAATAATTTGTGTTCTTTCTGCAGTCAGTGGATTTGGGACAAAATAAAGGCAGTCTTCTCCATAAGGTCAGTGGTTACCTGAATTCAGAATGCTCTGAGGATATATGTTTGGTATTTGCTTAAAAGGCTCCCTTAATTGTTGTGTGCAGATTTTCTCTGTGACAGCTAGGATCATTCAGAAAGATGCTGAAGAAAAGAAACTTTCTTTCAATCCTCGGCCATATTTCCGTTTGTTTATAAATTGGTTAAGTGAGCTTACTTCTTCTGACTTTCACCATGATGGCGCTAATTTTCAGGTACACATGCTGATTTAGTTTTAGTTACATCTTGTAATTGCAACACATGTTGGAGCAGTTTCACATATCCAAAACTTTTTGGACTACTTATCTGGTATCTGACACATGTTTGCCAGGTTTTGAGTACATTTGCAAATGTACTTCATATTCTGCAACCCTTGAGAGTTCCTGCTTGGAGGTTTGTATATTGTTTTGATCCCTCTTGGCAATTTCCTGAAATCTTTGACTTCCTACTTGCTTTGATGTTCAATACTTTCCTTTTTGTTGAACAAATTCATTGCATGTTTTATTGGCACTAATATTTTCCAATGCCTAATGTAAGATTTTTTTTTAAATGTGTAATGTCACTTCAACATCTATTTCTTTGCACTCTGGTCTTGAAGAAATGCCAATTAGTTTTTGAAGAAATTACATGGTTGCATGATACATCACTACACTGTGTTATTGCTTGTTAACTAATTACATTTTCCATATAGTTTTGCCTGGCTTGAATTGGTGAGCCACCGATGCTTCATGCCAAAGTTATTGATGTGCAATTTGCAAAATGGCTGGCCGTTTTTCCAGAGGTTGCTCGTTGATTTGTTCAAATTCATGGAGCCATACCTAAGAAATGCTGAATTGGGACAACCTGTAAGTTTTGTTCCTGCATTTTAAGTTATACATGTCTGAATATTATTTACTGCAGGCTGATTTTCTTCGTTCTTTTGCAGATTCTCCTTTTGTACAAAGGAACGTTAAGGGTGCTACTTGTGCTATTGCATGACTTCCCTGAATTTCTTTGTGACTATCACTTCAGTTTCTGTGATGTGATTCCCCCAAGCTGCATTCAAATGCGTAATGTTATTCTTAGTGCTTTCCCACGTAATATGAGACTTCCAGATCCGTCCACTCCTAACCTAAAGGTATTTGCCACTTGTGAAGATTTTGTGCTTCCATTCTTCTAATCATATGCTTATAGATGTCTGATCAATCCAATTCTTTCTTGTAACATAGATTGATCTGCTAGCGGAAATTTCAATAGTTCCTCGAATCATGACTGATGTGGATGGTGCTTTGAAGGCAAAGCAAATGAAGACTCAGATTGATGAATACCTAAAGGTGAATGGCAACAATCTGTACCGTTGTGTTTTATATGTGATTATCATGCTTCTTTATCTCACTGGTGCAAGGCCGATAAAGACACCTTCAAAATTATCTAATTTTAGTGGGTAGTGCTAGAAGCCTTCCCTAAACTGATCAGCATTCATCAGAATGTTTGTTTTTCTAATTAAAAGGATGGAGTATATAACAGTATGTTCTCTCATTTGCATCTGTGCAGAGACCAGAAGGTTCCCTCTTTTTGACTGATCTAAAGCAGAAGTTGTTGTTAACGCAAAATGAAGCAAACATTGCTGGGACTCGTTACAATGTTCCTCTAGTTAATTCACTTGTCCTTTACGTTGGCATGCAGGTCAGCTATGAAAGCCTTTGTTTGCTTATCATGCTTATTTTTTAATATATTTTGTTGTAGGTAATAGTTACTTTTTCTCCAGTATTTATTATCCTACAAGCAAGCAAACAAATTAAACTTTACCATATCATCTATCATGTCACTCTTGGTACAAACTATGCACATATTTCCATTTTTCTGTATTTGTTGTCAAGTAAGTGCAAGTTGATAGATAAGCCTAGTGCTAAAGCACCTGTATCTTACTTTTCCTGCACTTTTACTTTCCTTGGCTTCTAGGCCTAGTGTTAGAAATATGCTCAAGCATCCACTTTAGTGGTTAAAATATGTTGTAGCAAGTGGGAGTACCCTTTGCCTATAAAGGGCAAGGGATAGTCATTGTAAAAAACAAGCAATTGCATTTCCTTTCAATCAAGCGGCCAAGGGCCAAGCTGCCTTCTGGTAGTTCCCAAATCTGAATCTGAGATCTATTTGGGCCAACAATTGGTATCAAGAGCCTAGGGTTCTAGTGAGTGAGAGCCATGTCCACCGAGAGCCAGATCGCCAGAGCGCGCACCGTCGCCGGAGGAGGAGCATTGATCAACCCTGGTGGTGGCGTAGCGGGTGCCAGGGTCGGCGACTGTGCGACGCGCCTTGCTGCCGCAGAGGCAGCGGCTGCGGCTCAGGCCACGGTAGCTGCCGCTGCAGCGGTCCGCGCCGAGATGGAGCGGGAGGAGCCAGAGTCGGTGGGAGGAGGATCATGCAGCCCGGCTGGGCGCCGCCGTCAGTCGCCGTCACCAGAGCGGCGTCGTGGTCGCCACAGGCGCTCCTCGGTGCTGAAGACCGTCTACCGCGACACCGGAGCAGGGATGCCATGGCCGATGCTCACCAAATGCAACTACCACAAGTGGAGCCTGCTGATGAAGGTCAAGCTTCAGGCACGGTGGCTGTGGGAGGCGGTCCACGTCGGCGGCGTCGACTACGACGATGATCGGTGGGCGCTGGAGGCGCTGTGCGCCGCCGTTCCCAGTGAGTTTGGCGCTTCCATTGCCAACAAGGCCACGACGAAGCTAGCATGGGAATCGATCGCCGTGGCGTGCGTCGGCGGAGATCGCGTGCGCCGGGCGACGTTGCAGCGCCTCCGAGGGGAGTGGGAAGGCCTCGCCTTTCAGCCAGGTGAGCAAGTCGAGGACTTTGTCCTTCCGCCTGACCAACTTGATGGAGTAGATGGCGTGCAACGGCGACACCAACCTCACGGAGGAGCGCGCGGTGGAGAAATTCCTCCAATGCATGCCGATGAAGTACACATAGATCATCATGTCGATCGAGATACTCCTCGACTTCGAGAAGCTCATCGTCGAGGACGTGACCGGGAGACTCAAGGCGGTGCAGGACCGCGAGGAGGGGCCTCACACCGAGCCGGGCGTCGTCGGAGGCAAGCTGCTGTTCACGATGGAGCAGTGGCGCGCCTTCGAGATGAAAGAGGAAGGATCCGGACCATCCGGCTCAATCATCAAGGCCAAGACGGGGGAGCACCGCCTTCTCACTGCGTGTACTACATCCCGGCCTTGAGGAACTCTATCATCAATGTCGGGCAGCTGGATGAGAACGGCTCGCATGTGGAGATCGAGGACGGTGTGCTGCGCATCTGGGATAGAAGCCGCCGCCTTCTCACCAAGGTGAACCGGGGAAGCAACTGCCTTTACGTGCTTCATGTGCAGGTGGTGCACCCCCTTTGCCTTGCCGCGCGCCGGGATGATGAGGCGTGGCGCTGGCACGAGCGTTTCGGGCATCTTCACTTCGAGGCCCTGAAGCAGCTCGGCAAGGAGATGGTCCGTGGTATGCCCTGTGTCGACCACGTCGAGCAGCTCTGCGACACCTGTGTGGTGACCTAGCTGAAGTGCCGGCCCTTCTCACGTCAAGCCTCCTACCGCGCCACCGAGTAGCTCGAGCTGGTGCACGGTGACCTCTGCGGTTCGGTGTCACCGGCCACTTCTGGAGGTCGGCGCTACTTCCTACTGCTCGTTGACGACGCCACCCGCTACATGTGGGTCGTGCTGCTCGATTCCAAGGCGGCAGCTGCAGACGCCATCAAGCGTCATCAGGCAGCCGCGGAGGAGTGTTGCCGCAAGCTCCAGGTGCTCCGCACGGACAACGGTGGCGAGTTCACGGCGTCCGAGTTCGTGGCGTACTGCGCCGACGAGGGGATTCAGCGCCACTACGCGCCCTACTCACCGCTGCAGAACGGCGTGGTCGAGCGCCGCAATCAGACGGTGGTGGCAGCGGCACGCGCTCTCCTCAAGCAGCGCGGCATGCCGACGATCTACTGGGGTGAGGCCGTAATGACCTTTGTACACCTGCTCAACCGCTCGGCCGACTAGTGTACTCGACAGCAAGACGCCATATGAGGCCTGGCACGGGCGCAAGCCGACGGTCAGCTATCCGCGTGTCTTCGGCTGTCTCACCTTCGTCAAGGTGCTGAACCACGTCGGCAAGCTCAACGATCGCAGCTCGCCGGGGGTCTTCATCGGCTACGTAGAGGGGCCTAAGGCCTACCGCGTGCTCGACCTGGCGACACGGTGCGTGCGTGTGGCGCGCGACGTCGTGTTGGATGAAGGACGTGGCTAGGCATGGGACAAGGTGGTGGACGACGGGTCGGCTATCGCGCTCCGCGACTTCACCGTCGAGTACGTGTGGGTGGGCGGTCGTGTGCATCCTCGTGGCGCCCTGGTCTTCATCACCGCACAAACCTCTTTCATCCTCCAACCGTTCGCCATCACCAAATCGGGAGTCTTCAGCGGCACATCGATCGGCGGTGGTAGGCGATCCATCGCCAAAGAGATCTCGACTTCCAAAGACCACCGTGTTAGCCGCACTAGCCAACCCTCGGCGTCTTCTACCTCGCCACGCGACACCGCCACAGACGCAGGCGTAGTTCGTATCGGCGCCACTTCGGAGGATGATGAAGACCGCTCGGCGGTACGACGCGAGCCATCGCCGCACGGTGGCAAACATCCTCGACAAGCGGCTCCACCGGACCAACCGAGAGTCTTTCGCTCTCCAAAGACCACTTATGCCGAGGCGCAGGGTGATCGCGGCCGGCGAGGCGCAGAGCTCAAGTCTGCCGGCGGAACCCTCACTGAGCCGGTGCTTCCGCCGATCGATAGCCACCACCCCATCACCACAAGTGGGTGTTCAAGCTCAAAAGACGACGGCCGGGCGCGATGATCAATCACAAGGCGCGGCCGGGGCATGGCTTCGCCCCGGCCGGAGGGATCGATCGACGCCGCCGCCCGATGGATGATGAAGACCGCTCGGCTCAAGCCTGGCAAGTCCACCACATGGATGAAGCCCGCTCAACGGCATCGACCTCAAGGGTGGTCAAACATCCTCGGCCAGCGCACGCTCCACCGGACCAGAGAAGAGGGAAGGTGTCTCGCCGGCTACATCTATGGCTCGCGCCAGCAAGCACGGCTACCGAACGCTAAGCTCGACGCCACACTTAAGAAGATGAGGCTTCAGGCAAAGCGATGAGCATGAGGTGGCGGTGCGGGCGGGCGGCGGGCGCTCAAGACGACCTCATCATCACCGGCCGAGCGAGAAGAAGGTGGAGGTGTTCAAGGCGCAGATGAAGAAGGCGTCGATAGACCTCCACCCCTTCACCACAGTGGGTGGGTGTTCAAGCTCAAAAGCCCTCGCCAAACCCACTACGCCAAGCGCATCGATGATCAATCATGACAGGCGCAATCCACCCACACCATGGCTTCGAGAAGCTCAAGTCGAGTCGGAGAGCACGGCGAGGAGGTCGATCGAACCCATTACGACGACGCCTTGCGCTACCGGTCCATACCGGCCGGACATCGTGTTCGCCGTTGAGTACATGAGTCGTTCATGGAGCGGTCGACGATGGAGCATCTCAGAGGTGTCAAGCAAGTCCACCACGTGGCGGGCACCCTCGACGGCGTGAAGTCCGTTCTTCCTCGTTGATTGCTTGGTCACCGCGACCTCAAGGAGGAGGTCTTAAGTCAGCGCCGCATCGCCACCACCACCGCAAAGAACTCGGGCACTATGGCTGCTCATGGATGCTTTGAGCTTCTTGGAGGGGAAGGTGTGTGGTTGAGTCAAGGTGGACAATAAGTCACGCTAGGCACTCGCCAAGAACCCTGTCTTCCATGAGAGAAGCAAGCACATCGGCATCAAGTACCACTTCATCAGAGATTGCTTGGAGGACGGGAGCATCAAGGCCAGCCATATTGCCACTACTGGTTAGCTGGCTGACATTCTCACCAAGTCGCTGGGAAAGTCCAAGTTCCAGGAGATGAGGGAGAGGATTGGGCTACAGCAGATCACCTCCAGTGCTCGGCACAAGGCTTAAAGGGGAGAATTGATAGATAAGCCTAGTGCTAAAGCACTTGTATCTTACTTTTCTTGCACTTTTACTTTTCTTGCTTCCAAGCCTAGTGTTAGAAATATACTTAGCATCCACTTTAGTGGTTAGAATATGTTGTAGCAAGTGGGAGTCCCCTTTACCTATAAAAGGCAAGGGAGTGTCATTGTAAAAAACAAGCCATTGTATTTCCTTTCAATCCAAGCGGCCAAGGGCCAAGCTGCCCTGTAGTTCTCAAATCTGAATCTGAGATCTATTTGGGCCAACACAAGTGCAATGTAGTTAATTTAGCAGTCATTCTCGGTTATGATTAATTTCTTCCTTTTTTTTTTGTTCCCTGAATTTTCTCTATTTTGACTAAGTAAAATAATCTGTCCATCTACATTTTGTGCTATGACATGCCAAAATTGTACTACTCCCTCCATCCTGAAATGATAAGCATATTTTGATCAGGAAAAAGTCTCTTTTTTTGCGATCAAGAACAGGAAAAAGTCATGAAAATTTTTTGACCATTAATTTCTCTTATTATATATTGTCATTTGTTAAATAATCAATATCTGAGAGGCACTTTGAGTACAAATCTACCGATATGCTCTCTTTGTTCCAAATTATAAGGCATTTTGTTTTTTCTAGATACATGGCTTTTGCTATGCAAGTAGATATATCCTATGTCTACATACATAGTAATTATAAGTTCTGACTTTTCTAGACACATAGTAAAAGCTATTTATCTAGAATAACCAGATCGACTTACAGTTTAGAATGGATGGGGTAGGTATCTAAAAAAGCCAAAACGACTTACAATTTGAAACGGAGGGAGTAAGTTTTTTTGTTCAAAATTTATATGTAATTTGAATATCTGTTGGTAAAAGTTTATAAAATTTGACTTTAACTGTGCAAAATAAGCTTATCATTCCGGACAGAGTATTTTGTTTCATCAAGTTGAGTGCCACTTGAGCATATTTCAAGACTATAAGCTGGTAGAATTTTTAAATGCAGGCTGTGCAACAGTTGCAGCAAAACAAGGTGAATGCATCAGCACCAGCACAAATTAACCAAAGTCAAATGGATATATTCCAAATCGAAACAGCTACTGAGATGTTCAGAAACCTTGTAATGACTATGGACACAGAAGGTCGCTACCTTATTCTCAATGCGATTGCTAACCAGCTTCGGTATCCAAATAGCCATACCCACTACTTTTCCTTCATCATTCTGTACTTGTTTGCCGAGGCAACACAGGTATTTAAGTCCCCAGACCCTACACTCCTTTTCAATTGAATTTTTGATGAAGTAATCAATTGAAACACAGGAAATTGTCCAAGAGCAGATAACAAGGGTTCTTCTGGAAAGGTTAATTGTCAACCGGCCTCATCCTTGGGGATTACTCATTACTTTCATTGAGCTGATAAAGGTATGCTACCTTGACTATTTGAAACTCATAAACATAAGTGACTTGAATAAAAAAGGAGTGTGTTTTTGCAGAATCCACGCTACAGCTTCTGGACTCGATCCTTTACACACTGTGCTCCTGAGATAGAGAAGCTTTTTGAGTCGGTTGCAAGGTCCTGTGGAGGTAAAAGCACGGACGATGGAATGGGTCTAGCAGACGGAGGCCACTAGGGGAAAATGCCTAGCGTCGACTGAATTACGAAAACATCAGATGTAGTTTTGCTGATATTGTATATAGATTAGAGTAGGACTGGGTGGTTTGCTTTGGAATGAAGATGGGCTTGTGCTATGCTGGAAATTGAGCCCATCTCTATCTCTATAACACAAAGTCTGCAGGAGAAACCGCGGGCAATGGATCAGGCAACATAGTACGTTAGCCTGCTAATCGTTAGATCCCGCAATATCGACTGTTCGATTTGGGTCATCATGGGTCTATCACCCCGTCAAGCCATATAAATTTAGCGCTTGCAAATCGTCGCTGAGATTCTCGACCCCTCTGCTTCGCACTGCCCTCCACCCGGCGTCCCGGCATCTATAATGCCGTCTGCTACTCCTGGCCCTTGCTCCGCAGTGGGTGTGGGCTACAGCAAGGGCGTCAATGGCTGAGCTGATGCGTGGGTTGTGGATGGCTTCTTGCTCTGGCCCTGTTTGTTTTGCTGAAATTTGGTTTATGTTGATGTTTATGCTGATTTATTGTGAGAGAAAAATAATATTTGTTCGCTGAAAAAGACTGCAGAAGTAGTTCAATAAACAGTGTTGAAAACATCTTGGGCAGTCGTCTTGGGGACTAGACGTATTGTGGAGGATCTGGCAGTCGTCTTGCAGCCGCTGCCATTGCTGATGGCTGTTGCCACTGTATAATCAGTGTAGAACTGATCACTGTAGAATCATTGTAGAACTTGGGCCCTAGTTAGATGGACTAAGCTAAAAATTAGCCAACTAGTTGTTAGTCTATACATGTTTGGATCCTGAGCTAATTGTTAGCTCTTTATATTAGCCCTGTTAGTTGGGTTTTGCGGAGTAGTGAACTAACAATTAGTTAGGCCTTTGACTAAACAATTAATTGTTAGACTAAGGGATCCAAATAGCCTCTGAACTAGCTGTAGTCAGCAACAAGGCTAACAAAAGCAGCCGAACATGCCCTTAGTCTCTGCGGCTGGGAGGTCAATGAGGCGCCCCCTCCTCTCTTTCCATCACCTCTGACCTCCGTCCCTCCTCTGTTGCCTCTTTTGATTCTCTCACTACCCTCTTCCCCTTGGATTGCGTCAAACACGTGGTTGACTCGTTGGTAGGCCTCGTCCAACTGGAGAAAAAAAAGTAGGGAATAGCAAGCTGCATCAATTAGTTTCATTAGGCTTGCTTAGGTTAAATGAGAGTTTGAGCTTGTTACTCTCGGTGATCGACATCATCTAGATGGCTTGGTGGTGATTGGGAGTTTGGTAATCACTCGGTGAATCTTGTGGGTGGCACAACTCATGTTATGAGTGGTTGTAGGCGATTCACCACGTCGAAGTGCCAAAGAATCAGCCCGTAGAGAGCACTTGGTCATTGCGCGGGTCAAAGGGGAGCTATATCCTTCCGCGGGTGCTTCAACGAGGACTAGTGGGGAGTGTCAACTCTCTGATATCTTGAGAAAACATTGTTGTGTTTCTTTCCCTTTCGTTACATTATATATTTATATTTGTGTAATTACTTTGATATCTTTATATTCTTTAAATTGCCATGCTAGTGTAGGATTGGAACAGGTTGCAAAACTTTGTGCATGGGATCAAAACATTATTAGGCATAAGGGGTGAAATGAGCTAAGTGATAGGTTTTAATTTCGTGAGAATTTTAGATTAGCCCAATTTATCTTAGCTCTTGGGCATCTTGATCCTTTCATCTACTTCTATGGTTCTAACTTAGCAAAACAAGCTATAGTTAGCAAGATAGAGTTCCCACACAATTGCACACACACGACTAGATGAGAAATGACAATATATATATAATAGTGTCAGGCCTCCCAGTGGAGTGGTCCTACTATTTTAATAACTTTCCTATAACACATGGTGTAATATAGAGACTAGATAGGGTTGTCACCACCTACTGGTTACGACAAACAATCCATGCAACAAGCAACAACCACGAGCAAAGTATAGTCTAGACACCACTTCTACACTATAACTCACTACTTTGGTTATGTACACACATATCAACTATAGAGCACCAGTTTAAGGGCGGTGATCTAGAACAATATGGGTGATACTACTCAACTTAACAATCATACAAGTAATAGCTATACTAGGATAACCACTACGACACAACCAAAGGTATGTTCCACAAAGTAAGGACTAAGCAAAGTAGAGAAAGATAATATACTGAATGAAGTGAAGTTTTACTAAAAAGGGAAAGGATACAAGAGCTATACTAGAGTCCCAGAAGACTAAATTGGGAAACCCGAGACTAGCACATTACTCCCTAATTCCCAACACTAGACTATTCTACTAGCACTTCTTCAAATGGTGTTCGTGCTTTTGGAGTGAGGGGTACCCCCTATTTACAGTAATGGAGGAGGGGGCCCATCAATCCAAGTGATCTTCACCTCATCCCTTTGGATCAGACTACCTTAACATGAGGGTGGTGATCCACCACACTTGTGCTTCTTTGCATGTTGACCAAAGGAAGGTTGTGGAGAAATTTGACAGGGTTTGGCCACCAAGGGGGTCGGTCGACCGCCCTATTGTAGGTGGGCTGTCCCCACTAGGTGGGGAGGCTTCCTACTTCCTTCTTACGTTGGTATTTGCTGGTGGGGCCACTTGGACATCTCCGATCTATGGGCCCTTCAATCCTTGTGAAGTGTACATGAGCCGCCTAGAGAAAACACAAAGTGAATCCAAGGGTGTAAATCACTTAGTGTCAGATATATGGGCCAGGGGTACATACACCGCCCGTATATTCGACCATGCCCATCTATCGGGCTAAAGACCACGACAAGGGAGGCCCACGAAGGCTAAACGAGTCCATTGACTTGGAGGTCAAGGCATGATGAGAATATCCACCATTATCGTATCTCGAGGATAGAATAATAGAATCAATCTACTATACATTCCATGTAACAAACTAGGAAACCAATTTGTTAGTCGATCGAATCTATTGTAACCCTACCCTCAGCTTATATAAGGGGGAGTAGGCCCCCTCGATCGGGATCCCATTCATTCCCATCTACTTCATTCTAGCGCATAGCTAGGAGGAGCAGTAGCCCCTGTAACTAAGCATACAAATACAGAGAAGAAGCATCACCCCCAACTGGACTAGGGCACCATGTGCCTGAACCAGTATAAATCTTATGTCTTGTGTGCTACCATCTAATTCATCTTACACGATTAGCTGCTAGGTATTGTCGGACCTATTATTCCGACACTTAGGATTGTATTTTTTGGCTCCACACAAGATTCAGGGGCAGTAGGACCCACTAGAGTGGTCGGTCGACCCCCTAATATAGTCCCACTGGCCCTACCTTATCCAATTTCATATATCCTACAGAGAAATACTCCATATACATGTGGAACTTGTTATTTCATAAAATATGCTCATTTTTTTTATTCCAAGGTATGTTGACGGTGTTTACAAAGTGTAAAAACTATGACATTTTTAGCGTCAAGTGTCAACATTGACCCATGACCAAATGCTAATCACTAGCCGTGGTTACGAATTCACAGGACCATCCATAGATCCTTTCAAACTTCCGTGGCACGGAAGTACCGTGGATCCTAGCTGAAAACTACTACAACTCAAATTGATAGAGTGTAAACATAAATCGAGTTGAATACGAAGCTTTCTAGAGGTGTTTCCTTCCTTCTTCACCATAGCCCTATAGTTAGAGCTTAAGGGAAAAGTAGATCGGGTGTAAACCCTAGGAATCAATTCAAACAAGTTTTCCACCATAGTAGAGAGCACCACAACCACAACAGTAAGGGGCAATACATAAGATTTAACCTAAGGTACAATGAAGTCACCAAGGCTTGCCTATGTCCTCATTGATGAGAAAGCCACAAAGGCTTTGGGTCTCTTCCAACCCTATTCTCTTCTCAAGTGAATCACAAAGTCAAGCTTTTGAGGATTCTTACTATCTTCTTTGGGCAATACAAACTTCACTATCTTTTTTAGGCAATACAAACTTCCTAGCACCCCACAAGCTTGAGTGCTACACGGGCAGCACCTAACTTTCTAGGATCTCAAGCTCCAAGAGCAACAAACACAAATTCAGTGGCTAGAGGATGAACCAAGTGCTCAAGGGTTGGATCTCTTGCTCACAAGCTCTCTAACTCGCTTCTAAGCTCAATCTCATAAGGGATTTCACCAAGAATCAAAAGGGCGAGTTGGGAAGCCTTCAATGAGGGTGAGGAGAGCTTGTCCACAGGCTATTAGAAGAGTAAATGCAAAGATGGTTGTTAGGGAAGAAAGAGAAGGAGTACTTAAACACCTCTACTCCAATAGTCGATTGTCTAAGTGCGGAAGTTCCTCACTTAGACACGGAACTTTTGTGGTGTGGAGGTTCCACAAACAACTCCCAACTTCTGAAAAAGGCCATAAAGAATGAGAAAAAGGTATTGTTGGCCTTTGGTTTGCTTAGATGGATATCTAATCTTTTGGATAAAAGATTGAGCACTTGATCACCTTAAGCTACCAAATTTCCCCCCTTGATAGTACATCTTTTTCTATACTCAATTTCAAAATATAAAATGTAAATAAGCCTTCATGTATCCTCTTGTCGTATTCCTTAGAATTTGAGGGTCTCCTTGTGTTGTCATGCTCTCATAATCACTTATAATTTGTCATCATATTGTAGATTTCATTAGATCCTTAATTCCATGGTCATCAATACATCAAAATCCACTTAGGGGCCTAGTTGCTGTTTCCAACACTCGGCAGCGATGCTCTCAATCCTAGAACCAGCTACGACACTCGGTGGCGATGCTTCCAATCACCAGCCATGATCATAGGTTCACGATATTCTCAATACCCCCTTTAGTCATCGGCCTGTGCCACTCCTGCCTTTATCCCTGGTGTCATTCCTGCTTTCTGCCTTCATCCTCACTCATCATATTCCTTTTTCCAATATAAGGGGAAGCGCTATGGCGGCCAACGACCTATTTACAAGCTGTGTCGGATCATCGATCAACGAGTGCCAT